GTACATTTCTATTTCCAAGTCAGATACATTTGAATGAGCACTGATATCTTGGCTGTATTGTTTGAAAAATTAATCTGCAAATGAGAGTTTATCCCCCTCTTCAATTAGATTTCAAAACTAATCTAATAACTAAATATAATAGAAAATTATTTTTGCATAAGGAAACTTCAGATTGAAATGTGTGACTACTGCAATTAATTCTCTTTCTCATTTAATTTTGAAACATTTATGATCTGTATTTAATCTAATTTTGTTTTTTGTTCCCGGACTCCAAACAACCCAGGAGAGTTTCATATGAGTTATAAAGTTCCCCCTCCCATTTATCCAAAGTTAATAGACCCACATATTAATACACCTTCAGGGATACATTTGCATCATTTTTCAATCATCTGTGATGACAAACTTTCTTTTTTAATTTTTAATTTTTGTTGGTACATAGTAGGTGTATATATTTATGAGGTACATGAGCTACTTTGAAACAGGCAGGCAATACGTAATAATCATATCATGGTAAGTGGGGAATTCATTCCTTCAAGTACTTACCCTTTGTGTTGCACACAATATAATTATATTCATCTAGTTATTTTTAAATGTATGATTAAATTATTATTGGTTATAGTTGCCCTGTAGTGCTATCAAATATGAGGTCTTATTTCTAACTTTTAAATTCAATATTATCCAATGTTACCAGAAAGAATTAAAAGAGTATTTGAAATTATTTAAATGATCTTACTAAACCATCAATTTTGAACATCTCTCCATGCTATTTAATCAAGGAATATAATGATGATGATGATGATGATGATGATGATGATGATGATGATATTGTTTGCCTCACATTAAATGCAGTAGATGATATGACTCGACTATAGAGCTCAGTCCATGTTTTTCAAAACTTTAGTTCCACTTTAGTGTTCAAAATATTTTAATAAGGGAGAAATGAGTAAATAAACCTTCAAAGTTCTTCTCGTATAAGAAACTAAATTTAATGTTGTTCACATTTTTATCCTTACACACCATAATCATCCCATGACAAAGTGCAAAAAAAAAAACAACAACAACAAAAGAAACATGATTTGTCCTCTATCTCTAACTACCTCTTTTTCTATTATCTCTGCCTTGACACTCTATTCCAACATATCACTCAATAACTCCTTGTGAATGAACTGAAACTGATATCTCATATAACATCTGTTTATTTGCACTCCTGGAAACAAACACTCCTTAAGGTATTACTGAGTTTTAGACGTTGCAGAATAAGAAAGAGTATGAAAACATCTTCTGAGGTTCAGAAAAAGAATCCCTGGAGAAACAACTTCCATAATGAAATACAAAATTCAGAAACAGAGGATGTGGTTATTCTATTAAAAAAAAAATGTGAGGCTATTAGTATAATTGAAAACCTTCATCAATTCTGCTTGTAAGCAGGTGATTTCCTATGTAGTATTATTTAAAAGGCTTCAGGAGGTGACATGTAAAAATACACCCTTCCCAAGTTTCATGAAGTTAAAATTGTATTGTGACAATTTTATTATTTAAGTATTTAAATACAAAAGCCCCTAGAGGAAAAAGTAACACTTTATGTAGTTATCTGTGACCATCATAAAATGATCTTATGATACCTTATAATTTTGAAATTATATAAATACATTATTATACCTTAGTTAAAAGTATCTGAGAAGAAGTGTTTATAGAAATAGAATCTGGGGCTTCTTGGTTCCCAAGACACATTTAATGAACAGATACAGAAATAGCGTAAAAACGGAGGACTCAGAAACCAAAACAGTTTTATCAGTTTCACATTTTACCTGAAGCTGGCACTTCCCTAATACACTAAAGAATTCTAGTACCAGAAATCTCAGAAATAAGGCCATAGTGTATTACAAAAAGAAAAAGAGAAATTTTAGCTTCCAAACTTTGATGTTGATTTCAAAGATTTGTAAAGACTACTGTAAATTTAAATACAAGATCATTTTTTAAAATATCAGGGAAAACTAGTTTAGATAATTACTATAGTCAATTTTGGAGCTGGGAAAATTGATGCCAAATAACGCAAGCACAAACACAAGCCAGAAATTTTAAAATGTCTCAAGCTTATTTCCCTTAGAATACAGTACTGCTCCTCATCGCTCATCACCAATGTTGTTTCTGACCTCAATTCAATTTAGCAGTGAGGGTGATTCTCCTGATCTCTGAAGAATCACCCTGAACTCCACCAGACCTCATTGGCGTCCCTTAAACCAGCTTTATTTCTACTAGCTCATTAGACATCTATCAACTGTGAACATCAGCTAGCCATTGGTTCTTCAGAGATGGGATTCCAACCTCTCCCTTAGCCCTGCCTTATCCCTGACCTACCAGTCAAGAATAGGCAATTAAATGACATTTATACCTCTTTTTTTGTTGTTGTTTTTGTTTTTGTTTTTTTTTTAGACGTAGTTTCACTTTTGTTGCCCAGGTTGGAGTGCAACGATACAATCTTGGCTCACCGCAACCTCTGCCTGCCAGGTTCAAGGGATTCTCCTGCCTCAGCCCCCCAAGTAGCTGAGATTATAGGCATGAGCCACCATGCTGGCTAAGTTTGTATTTTTAGTAAAGAGAGGGTTTCTCCATGTTGGTCAAGCTGGTCTCGAACGTCCGACCTCGGGTAATCAACCCACCTCAGCCTCCCAAAGTGCTGGGATTACAGGCATGAGCCACTGCACCTGGCCCATTTACACCCTCTTTTAAAAATAAAAAGAATTTTCAGTTTCTCTCAGTATTCATTACCTTATATTTATCAACTGAAAGATAGTAATGGGGTCATTTGTTAGGCATTGCATAGTGTCTACTGCTGTAATCTGCATAAGTGACTATTGCAGAATTTTCTGCAGTAACTTTTTAAAGCCTGAACAAATAAGATGAAGAGAAATGTGGCCGGGCGCAGTGGCTCACGCCTGTAATCCCAGCACTTTGGGACGCCGAGGTGGGCGGATCACAAGGTCAGGAGATCGAGACCATACTGGCCAACACGGTGAAACCCCGTCTCTAAGAAAAATAAAAAAATTAGCCGGGCCTGGTGGTGGGCGCCTGTAGTCCCAGCTACTCAGGAGGCTGAGGCAGGAGAATGACGTGAACCCGGGAGGCGGAGCTTGCAGTGAGCCGAGATCGCGCCACCGCACTCTAGCCTGGGTGACAGAGCGAGACTCCGTCTCAAAAAAAAATACATATATGTATAAAGATGAAGAGAAATGCTCAGAGCAGGTGGGTGCTTAATAGTGACTTATTCCTCTGGTGATACTGATTCCATGGGTGCCTAAATGGACACAGTGGTTTCATCCACCAGTGAGATTATTATGAAGCTGCTATCCTTCTGTCATGAATAATTGATTATTTCACTGTTCAGGGGGGAAAAACAACAGATGTGATAAACAATGCAACAAATGTGACAAAGAAGGAGCTTAAAGTTTATTATTTTACTGCCTATTATTTCACCATTTGTGACGATGCCATAGGCAAAATCACCCAATCCCTGCATGAATGTGTAAACTGCATGACACACAAAAGATTATAATTAATTTAACCCTAACTATCCAACGACCCGTTTGGGTTTTGTGGAAAAGCCCGTTTCTAAGAGAACACACAGAGCAGTGATGACTATTTCTACAACTGTGTAGTTAACAGAGTTTCTTTATGGTTCTTCTTGTCTTTCATACCAGCTTTCTTCTCACAGTTGACATCCTGTGTGCTCCAAGAGCCCAGACACCTGTGCAACCCATTGATCAGTCCAATTCAAGGCCCTGATTACAAGGGTTCTACCCAGCCATTCTCCTCAAGCTAAGCAGTATATTCAATATTTACTCATCTGTCTTTCCACCAATCAAAGTCTTACTCTACTTCCTTGCCCTACTGTACCAGCTTTTAGGAGGAAAGTAATCTGATTAAAATAAACTACATTAAATCCTATCATGAGAGCTAGTAACTTTTTACCGATCTAGCTAATTGAAATCAATATTATTTTTAGAAAATAAACCTAAAATATGACCAAGATTTTGACAATTTATATAGTCCGCCTAACCTGCCAATTTCTGTTGTCTTTTGAAAATCATAGCATACATCAGAAAAAATAGGATTCATGATCATCGAAGTTCTAGGTAAGAATCTTTAAAGATACGTAAGCCTAAATAGTTTGTCATTATTTCTGTAAATACAGATGGATAAAGAAATAAATTATGAAGGAAGATGATAATATTAAAAGCTGTATTTTCTAGAGCTCCTGGAAAGATGGAATTTTTCTTAAAAGATTCAGGAAGTAATGAAAAGAAGCCTTCCCAAAGTTTTGAATATGTAATTCAACAGGAAGCAGAAACATTTTTTGTAAATAACATTCTAAAAACAGGTGTTAAATAAAAAGTATGTATAGCAGAAAGAAGAAAAATAAAGAGGGTTTGGTTACAAGAGGAGGGAAAAGAAAGAAAGGAAAATTCTCAGTAGATGTCTGATACGGCATGACCCACTTAAATAGACCAAATCCACTCATAAAATGGACTCTAGGAACATTCTTAATCCCAGTTATGAGAAGTAGGTCCATTTTCTAGAATCACATGATACAATTTTCATATTTAATTGTTAACCAATATTTGTGTGGTATCTACAACATGTGAAGCATTCTTTTTGATACTAAACCTAGAAAAAAACAGACAAAATTATTTGCCCTCACGTAGCATGTATTCTAGTGAGGGAAACAAACAATAACTAAGCTAAGGAAGTAAATTTGTATTATGTTAGAGAGCAGATAGTACTATGGCAGAATGCAAAACAGGGACTGGGAATAGAAAAACAAATGGGGGAAGATGCAATTTTAGAATTTGCATAGGAAGGTGAGAAAGGTTTACATCAAGAAAGTAGTGAGAGAATAAGCCATATATATTGAAGGAAGGAGCATTCTAGGTAGGAGAAAGAATTAAATGCAAAGGCCCTGGTGCAGAAGAATGCCTGTTATGTTCAACCAACTGTGAGGAGAACAGTTTAACTGACAAGCAGTGAGTAACAAAGTATTAGGAGAGGAGGTCAGAAAGTGAGGGGCAGTGGATGGGACTTACTGATTATTGTTCGGACCTTGGGTTTGTTTTGTTTGCTTTTTCCTGGTGAGGAAGAAAACCTTCAGAGCGTATTGAACACACAAATGACATGATCTCTCTTACATCTTAAGATGATGGTTGCTACTGAGTTGAGGAAAGACAAACCAGGTGAGAATGGAAGCTGAGAGACTGCTCAGGAAGGAGGCTGTTGAGCTAATTGGAACAAAAGACAATGGTGACTTGGGCTATAATGAAAGATACAGTGATTAAAATGATTGATTATTGTTATATTTTGAATGATGAGACAGTGAAATCTCCTATAATGTTTCAGAAAGGAATGAGTCAAGGATCATGAGAAACTGTAGGGATAAAACATTTTTACTTCATTGGGAATAACTAAGAGTCAGATGTGACATTGAGGCATTCTCTTTGGGACATGTTAAGCTGGTGATAACTGTACACCAAGTGAGAATTTACCCCCAAATTTTCATCACAACAATCACTTACAACAATGTAGTTTATGTACTTCTCGAGTTACATATACACTATAGAGTTGGATACAACTCTGCTTCTGTTTTCTTCTCTTTGGGACCAAAGCTTATGGTCAGTCTCTCTAACCAGAATGTTCCTAATCATCATGGTAGATGTAAAAAAGATATGAGAGTTCACACACTGCATCTTAAAACCTACTTAAACTGTGCATGTCACATTTAATTGACCAAAAGAAGTCATAAGGTTAGAACTATCATCAAAGTGATGAAGTGGTGTAATTTTTTCTTAGGGAGAAAGCCAATTATGATGATGATGATGATGATGATGATGATGATGATGATGATGACAATAATGGTGGCAGTAATAGTAATGAAAATAATAAGAAAGCTTACTACAACATCCAAGTAGAGATTTAAAGAAGGCAGTTGTATATATTAGCCTGGTATTCAGAAGACAGGTTTAGACTGAAGATATGAATCTCAGAGTCATTAGACTTAGTTAATATTTAAAACTATGAGACTAAATTGATAACCAAAGAATGAGTGTAAAGAAAAAAGGGAAAAAGTCCAAGAACTGAGCTCTGAACCAGTCAATATTTAGAGGTTAGGGAGATGGGAAAGAATCAGCAGTCAAAGCTAAGATGGGGAATGTGGTATGGAGTAGTGAAAACAAGAAAGTGCTTCACAAAAGTCAATTAAGATGACACCAATGATTAATCATTAAATATAACAACATGGCCATCACCGAGGGTTTTGTTTAAAATAATGAAGTGGGGAATAGGAGGGGAAACAAAATCCTCATAACAACTGTAATGAGAACAACCTGGAATCATATTAAAAATCCTTTCCCCAAACTGGAAGGGAGCTGAGAGACCAAAGAGTGACTGGGACAAGTCCAGTTTGGTGAGTAGATGAGTTTATTAGGACTTATATACAAGGCACTCCTGGGTGGCAGCAGAACAGATTTAGAGATCCTCCCTGCCTCCTGTCTCTAAACTGCTTTTAAGCTAATATTCTGGCTCTTTGCCTGCTGTGTATGTGTGATAGGACTGTTTTCCTAAGTAGGTTCTCAGATACTCTCTGGTATGTTTGGGTTCTCAGGGACACCTGGTCCTTGGCTGGGCACTATGCCTTTGGCTCAACCTAAGAGACATAAACTCTCAAGTAACCTGGTCAGGGACCTGTCATACTATAGCAATGGGTTCAAAAGAAAAATGAGAGAAGAATTAGAGGCAAGCATGTATATGTTTGTTTTGTGGAACTGTTATGTGAAAAAAGAAAACTGTGGTAATAGCTGAAAAGTGGGCTTAAGAGTTTTACTATATTTTTTTAAGTGAGAAAAGAAAATAGTTACTGTGTATACTGATAAAAAGTGATTCAGTAAAATGGAAAAATTGATATTATGAAAGAATGGAGAAGAGATTAACTTCCAGCATGGCAGTATGAGAAGTTCTGTAGGCAATCTCCACAGAGAATCTAGTGAAAATTTAATAAAACAACCATTTGAAGTCTCCAGAAATGGTCCCAAGGGTATACAGCAAATAAAAAAATATCTATTCAAGAATATCTGCTGAAATTCTGTAAGAAAGTTGAGAGTCTGTGGTATTTTAACTAACATTATTCAATCTCCTACCTGTCACTCAATGAGGTAGAGACTTTATTTCAGACTAGTGCAGTTGGAAACACAGAGCTCCTACTCTCACCAACTTCTAGTTGGGAGGATAACCTCTAAGAAGGAACAGAATGTCAGCATTTTTCATCCTGCCACCACTTATCTATTTTTGAGGTTGTTATGGGTGTGGCCAAATCTGGGGGCTCCCTTCTTCTGCCCAGCCCCAATTCATAAAATGGAAGTTATACCTTGGGAACAACATTGTCTAGAATACTGGGACCCTAATCATCCTTACCATGGTTCATAGGGTGGTGGGTGAATGCCAGGAGAGGCAGGCTAAAAGGATCTGAGACTATTGTCATCCCCCCATCTAGTGTTCATCCCCTAACAAAGGCATATCATTCAGAGAGAAATATGCCATTGTCCTCACCCCCAACTCCAACGCTGAGGCTCAACCATTTTGCCTGGCATGAGAAGCAGGCCATAACACAAATAGCTCCTATTATTTTAAATTAATTTTTTTTGTAAGAAACTAATTTAATTTACAACATAATACAGAGAAGTTCAAGCCTAAGGGAACTATCAAAAACAGTGGTGGTGGTTGGGCATGGTGGCTTGCCTCTAGTCCCAGCACTGTGAGAGGCCGAGGCGGGTGGATCACAATGTCAGAAGTTTGAGAACAGCCTGGCCAACATGGTAAAACCCCGTCTCTACTAAAGATACAAAAAAATTAGCCAGGTGTGGTGGTGTGCACCTGTAATCCCAGCTACTCAGGAGGCTAAGGCAGGAGAATTGCTTGAACCTGGGAGGCAGAGGGTGCAGTGAGCCGAGACCGCACCATTGCACTCCAGCCTGGGTGACAGGGTGAGACTCCATCTCAAAAAAAAAAAAAAAAGTGGAGGTAATAATATATAAACATAAATATACATAAAAGATAAACCATAGTGAGAGGAAATTGGTAGCGTCATTGAAGATATAGGCTAAACTGTAGCCTGATTATTTATCAGAGAGAACCAAGGAAGGAGACACCCAGAAGTTTAACTGTTGTTTGAAAAGTATCAAAGACTGACCTTGAAAGCTATTTCTTCAAAGGACTGTAGATTTGATTAGATTAGTCTACAGAACAATTTATGCCTCAAAAGCATTGTTGAACACGATAGGGCATTTGACAGATAATTAATGGAGCTTAACAAGTAGGTGCAGTCAGGGAAAGTGACAGTAAAAGAGACAGTTCTGCCAAAAACACTGTAATTCCAGAGCAACAGTGGACATACCCAAGGTTGTTGCCTCCTGAGGAGGACCATCAAAAGCTTTTTCTTTGGAGTGAAATAGGCTTCACTAAAATTAAAATTATGCAGATAGTAACTGAACAACTACAACAACAAAAGGATAAATAACAATGACAAGTCCAGGAAGGGGAGCCTAGTACCTAAAATTAATACAATATATTATCTAAAATGTCCATTTTAAGAAAGTATGACCCATACACTGGGGAATAAAAGTAGGCAATAGAAACTGCCTGTAAGAGTGTACAGATGTCAGATTTAAAAGGAAAATACTTCAAAGTTGCCATCAGAAATATGTTCAAAGAAATAAAAAATATGGTTACAGAAGTAACAGAAGGAATGAAAACAATGTTGTGTCAAATACAATATATCAATAAAGAAAAAAAAATTATAATAAAGAACCAAATGGAAATTCTAGAGTTAAAAAGTATAGAAGTTGAAATAAATATTTACTAGTGAGACTACAGTAGATTTCAATTGACATAAGAAAGAATTAGCAAACTTGAAAATAAAGCAATAAACTATTAAATCCAAAGAACAGAGAGGACAATAATGAAGAAAAATAAGCAGAGTCTCAGAGAAATGTGAAACATCAATCAGTGCAAGAATACATATTGGGAATATGAGGAGGAGAGAAGACAGAGAAGGGATATGTATATATGTATTTGTTTCAATAAAATAATAACTGTAAATTACACACATCGCAAATTACACACACCTTCCTCATTTGGGAAAAATAAATAAACTCTAAAAATGATAAACCCACATTCATAAAAAGACATGTCATAGTAAAAATGCTGAATGCAAAAAAACAAGGACAAAATCTTACAGTGAGAGAAAAATGACTTATTCACTAGGGAACTCCATTAAGATTAGCAGCTAACTTTCTGTCAAAAACAATGAAGACTAAAAGGCTGTGGGATAAAATATTTCAAGTGCAATTAAAAAAAAAAAAGCCAACCATGATTTCTATATCCAGTATGGCTAACCTTCAAATATGAAGGTTTAAGAAAGACATTTCCCAATAACAAAACCTGACAGGATTTTTTTCTATCTGATCTATCTTACAAGAAATACTAAAATTCTTTATGTTAAAAGCAAGTGACCCCAAACAGTAATTCAAATACACATACACAGAGAGAAAGAGAGAGAGAGAGAGAGAATGTGTGTGTGTAAGAACATGAGTAAAGGTAATTAAGCAAATTATTATAAAAGCATAAATGTATATTTATTTCCCTTTCCTCTCAAGTCATTGGAAAAACTGAACCATATGTATAAAATTATACATATTTTTTGAATTATATTGAACCATATGTATATAATGCACTGAGCCTATAATATATAGAAATGTAATATATATGCCAATAACGGAGAAAGAGGTAATTGACAGCAAAGCTGTATTGAGTTAGGGAAATGATTCCAGATAATAACTTGAATCCACAAGTATAGATGTAAAGAACAAGAAATGTTATTTTAAAAAGTTAATAGTAACAAAGCTACAAGTATTTACTTGTTTATATTTCTTCCCTTCTTTATGGTGATAAAATTATATAAAGTAATAATTTTAACAATGCATTGTTACATCTGTAACATTTATAAATATATATAACAATAATATCACAAAAAGAGAGGACAAGAATAGAGCTATGTAGGAGTAATGTTCCTATATCTCACTAGAAGTAGCATAAATCTGAAGCTGATTCTTTTTTTTTTTTTTTTTTTTTCAGGTTTTAATGTTTGGTTTTATTTGTCAAAACTACTGCTTTACATGCAAAGGAG